TAATTAATTAGGCAAGATACTTCATTTAACGTTTTTTTAATTCTCGTAAATACAAAATTAAAATTAAAATAAATAAGTTTAAAAGTTAGGTGTCGGGTGTAAAATTAATATCATGTTCATCCTCTGGCTGTCGCTGCCACATTGGCGGCCTGTTGAGCAATTCCCACAACCTGAATTGTGGCATCTCTGGTGTGCTGGCCAACGCGTTCCTATAATAGAGAATTATATATTTTAGCTTCTATATTAATTATTGACTTTGTTTTAGACTTACAAGTCTCTTTCCAAGCTTTCTCAGCCAACCGGCCTCCGACTGTCCCACACTGATGGCCAGGATCAGAGCAACAAAGACGAAGATCTTGTAGAAGTTCATGATGAGATTCTTTGAGTATTCCTTTTATTAAAGCAAAAGTTGCTGTTGCTGATGCTGATGCTGTTGATGTTGCTGGCAGAGCTGTGCGACTGATGAATCGACAATCAAAAGAGTGAGCTTTTATAGTGCCTTGTCTTCCATCAGTACAGCGCTCCAAGCTCCAAGCAATGCTGATAACCCGCAGTCGGGGATTTTTCCGGCAAAAACGTACAAGAGAGGAATTGGATCAGATCGGAATCCCCCTAGGTGGCTGTACCGTGGCAAGCTAAGAGAGATTCGAAATTATAGCGGGAAAGAGGGAAAATGCATAGTGTTTATTCTTAAGTAGAAGTAATTATTAAATGTCTGAAGCGTTTCAGTTCAGCAGCGAACAACAGCAGACGTGCCGACAATAGATGGTAAAAATTAAAACAAGAATAAATTGAAGTGTCAAGTGATGTTTAGTTAAAAGTAATAATTAGTTGAAGGAGCTGGAATCCCAATTATTCTCTTCGTTTACATACATTAAGAAGAAACAGATATATGTACATATGTTGATGCATTGAATAATCTTTGATTATAGTAATAATATTAAAATTTAGTCGAATGTAAAATGGGAAAAACTCAGAAAAATGTTTCAAATTATTCTGATCTCGGACTAAATTTCTAAAACGGTATATTGTTAAAAGTTCCCTGGTGTTGTGGTCTAAACTGTAATATTACATAGTCAGTTAACTTCACTAGCAAAAATAAATCGAATGGAGTGGAATTTAGGTAGATTTAAATCGTTTCAGTCTGGTTTAGGTGCGGTTGCAATCTTATCCCACTATTTTCCAATTCCTTAAAGTGAATTAAAACCAAAAAGACAAGCCATTCGGTTAAAGCGGAAAAATGTATTGTGCGCCGAAGAAAGCAAATGTTGCCTTATAAATGTACACAGCTGATCAAATATCAATAAAATATATTTTAAACAATTATCGGTAGGTAGCCTAAGTGATGCATTGGGAATCAAAAATAATATATAAAATAATAATAATAAAATAATAATAAATTTGATTTTTATTCCGAATTTATTGGTATTCAGG